AGCATGCTTATTTAACTTCTTATAAAGAATATTGTTAAGAAACCAGTTTAGAAAAAACTAGTCCAAAACCAATCAGCTGGTTAACAATAGAGTAAGGTGCTGGATCACTAATTTGACATTTTTGTCTAATATTTCCCATAGCTGTCCGTATTTTAACATGCTATCATAAAACCAGGTTGTGGGCTGAGAATGTGGCTCAGTGGTAGTGTTTGCCTAGAATGCATGAGTCCCAGGATTCAACCCCAGTACCACCCCAACCAACCAAACAGGTTGTGCTTTATATTGACACTCATTACTGTGAAAAATGACCACCACACTGTAGCAATTTATTATTCATACCTCAGAATAGTACTCAAGTCAGGGATGCTGGTCCCTGAAATCTCAGCGACAGCTAAGACAAGAGGTTTGCAAGTTCAAGGCCAGCCTCAGTGCAAAAGTGCTGGGGATGAAGCTCAGTGGTAAAGCACTGCTGGGTTCAAGCCCCTATACTGGAAAAATGAAAACAGAATAGTCCTCAGCACTTCTCAGTGTTGTTGTTTTTTTTAATTTTTAAAAAATTTTTTAGTTGTAGTTGGACACAACACTTTTGTTTTATTTATTTTTATGTGGTGCTGAGAATTGAACCCAAGGCCTCACACAGGCTAGGTGAGGGCTCTACCGCTAAGCCACAGCCCCACCCCCATTTCAGTGTTCTTTAAATGTATTTTTTTTTTTTTTTTAAATATTGGGGATTGAACCCAGGGTCACTACATCCTAAAACCCATTTTTAAATTTTTGAGACAGGGTCTCACTAAGTTGCTCAGGGTCTTGCTATGTTAGTGAGGCTGTCTTTGGATTTGTGATCCTCCTGCCTGGCTACTTTAAATGTTAAAAATTCTGGAGATGTAAATACTAAACCCAGCAATTACATTTTGTGTTTATAATATAGGATACATAGCACCATCTACATCCTGTCTATTCCAGAATGAATTATTTATAAAGTGTTGTTAAATGTCAGGTTTAATTTTTTCCACTTTCCTAAATCAGAGATTTTTATTCCTTTAAAAACATTTTGTTCTTAACCATTCTTTCAGTCTTTCAACTTCATGTCCTTTTTTTGGCCCTGTCCCAGATTTTCTAAATCTAGTATTCCTTACACAATACTCCCCTCATTTCTCCCAAAACTTCAGGTGTTAACTTTTTTACTGAGAAGCTAACACTTTTTGTGTGATTACTATGTAATAGATATTGTTCTAAGTGCTTGACATAATTAATCCTCATAATAACCTCCACAAAATAAGTACTGTTATTACTCAGATTTTAGATGGAAAAAACTGAGGAACAGATACCAACTAACTTACCCAAAAAGTCACAGGTACTAGTGATGGAGCTGGCTTAGGAATTTGAGTAGTCTTAACTATAGTCTGCCCTTACTATTCATCTGAGTTCAGTTAACTCAAAATTCTCCTGGTGGCTGGGGATGTAGCTCAGTTGATATACGTTAGACAAACTATACAGACAGCCTAGTCTGGACCAGTCTACAAAAAAAAAAAAAAAAAAAAAAAACCCAACAAGAAACTACAAAAATCTCCCTGGTGAGTTAACTCCAAACCTGTATGCCCGTGTTTTCTACTTTAGCAGAAAAGAAGTATTGGATTAGGCTTTGAAGTCAGAAAGGCTGGGTTGAAACCCTGTGACTGTGTAACCTTGAGAAAATTAATATTCCTCATCTCCAAATGTGAATAATACAATTTATCACATCAGACTGTTGAGGAGTAGGGAAATAAGTACAAATAAGGTGTTCAGAAAAGTACCTTAGTCAGTAGTAAGTGTTACGGTTATTTTTAACTTATCTCATTATAAGACAAATAAGAAAATAAACTGGCATGTTACCCTGAGGAAGCAGCTGTAAACCAGAGGTTGAGAACAAATGCTCAGCTTAAGTTGGTTTGGGTTCACATCGGTATCCTTTAGAAAGCTGACTTAGAATTTCAGCATATTCATCTGTGATACTGAGAGAATAGTACTACTTAAGGATTAGATGAGGTGATACACAACTGTTACTTGGCAAGTGTTTACTATAGATCCACGCTACATCCCTAACATAATGTTTAATGAATAAACAGTGGCAGTGATAATGCTTTTTTGTGCTTCCCTTCAATATATTCTCATTTTCTTCCCAGGTATCATCCTGAGTATTTTTAGGTGCACTAACAATATTTTTCAATTATGAAGATCAGAATAACTATAAATAAAATTGTAACTTTTTTGCCACTTAAAGCCATCACTTACCTACTAGCAATCATAACAAATTTTCAGTAAAGGGAATATGAATATTAACAGCAACCACTGTACATTACCACCACAAAAAAAGGGGGAAAATGGAACTTTTGCCTTATTTACCACATGAAAGACTACTAGAAAGTATTCACAAATTGCTATAATTTAGGTATATCTTTTTCTACTTTTAGCTAAAATTCTTTATTCCCATGCTTTTACCACAGAATGTGCAAAATTCAGTTTAACCTTAAACCCACATATTAATAAGAATCCTACTCAAGAACTGTAGATGGGTAAAGGAAATATACACCAGAACTATTTTATAGGTTATGTTACAAATAAGTTGTGTGAAAAGTTACATAAATAAGTTTCAGTAAAGTTCCACAATCAGCTGGGAAATTTTCTTAGGCTAATACCTGACAAAATATTGGAGAACTTTTTTCAACAATATCTTTCCCCAAGCATCTTCATACTGCTCCCTCAGTTCCTTAGTAAGACTTTAATGTAAATCAAACAGCATATAAATTAATCAATAACTCAGGCAAAATATCCCTGTTGACAAACATTTTTGAAAGATTATATGGTATACATAAATACAATCACTTCAGTTAAAACAAAAATTTATTGATCTAAAATTACTACCAAAAACCTTATGTAAGTTCAGGAAAAACTTTACTTAAGCTTAATGCTCTTTTTAACTCCTGCGCGAATGCCAGATAATTCACCACTATAGCGTTGCTCTTCTTTACGAACTTCTCGAACCTGGCCTCTTCTTCGAATTTTGGCTCTTCTGAACTTCTCCCTATGTTTCACTCTGGGGTTGCGATCAATTTTCTTTCTTCTAGGTGTAAGTCCCCTATTTTTGGCAATCTGGTAGGTAATGGCTCTCTTTACATTTTGATCTTCCAGAGCCTGTTCTTCAATGCTATTTTCTTCTATCTTTCTCTTCAACTTTTGCCTGTCATCCATTTCTTTGTAGAATTTCAGTGCATTTTCTTCATCAGTATCAGAACCATCAGAGAGATCTATAGCTGAAGCAGCAGAAGCCTCTGAAACAGACTTTGGCTTGGCCTTGGTGAATTTTGCTTTTGCATTCAGTTCTTTCTTTAAAGCATCACCTTTGAGTAGATGACGAATTTCAGAGGACAGCCTCTGATCCACAACTGACAGTTTGTTGATTAGATTTCTGTAGGTGACAAGCCTTTCTATGACAGGATGTCCATGTGCAGGGGCTCTTCTAGCTTTTAGGATCAAATAAAAACTGATGTTGGAACAATAGTTCAGGTAGAGGTTATACTTGATTCTCAGATATTTGCTTCCTTTTCCGGGTGGAATAATCCGTTGTTCCACCAACTGTAACAATGGCTCCAGCTCATCCTTCATTTCTGTCAACTTGACTTTCAGGTCTTCTATTAGTTCCAAGAGCTCTGGTGATTCCTTTCGCAACATCTTCAGCTTCTCTTTCACTGAAACTTTAGCCAAATCTTTCACGACCCGTGTCTCAGCCTCATCTACCTGAGGCACTGGTTTTGCAAAGGCCTCCACCCAGGCAACTCCAAAATCATCCTCTTGTAGGGCCTGGGCTAGACGCCGCTGAATTACCTTTGCCTCCTCCTCCTCCTCTCTTTCCTCTTCCTCTACTTCTTGTTGACTCTGCCGACCCCGGGATTTGGAACCATAGTCTGTGTCATAGTATAGTTTTTTCCTCTGACCCCACGACAAACTGGGATCCACGGAAGCCTCATTTTCACTCTGCACGGAGCTTCCACTACCATCACCATCATCATCATCATCATCACCATCATCATCATCACCATCGTCATCATCATTTTCCTCATCCCCCTCACTCTCTCCATCTTCGTCGTCAGTGTCTAAGGCCAGCACCTCCTCCTCATCATCACCGTCCTCCTCATCCCCACTCTCAACCTCGCTCCAGCGCTTGGCCAGGGCTGCCCCAGATCGTGCCTCATGAAAATCATCTACCTGATCCTGGTAGTAGCTGGAGTCTCCAGGTGAGGGTGGCGATCCTAAATCTTCATTTTCATACGCGGTGGTGCCACTTGCCTTGGCTTGCACAGCTGCCCATTTGGACGCTCCCCGCCGCCGGGATCTCCCAACCATGGCTCTCCCTCGGCTTAACGTTCTGCAGCGACACCGGGATTTCGGCCACTCTGGCCTCGGCACACGAGCCACACGTTCTAGCAGCAAGCAGCTTTAAACCGCCGCGGGCCTCTTACCACGCGACTTTACGAACGTCCAGATCGGCTGCTGGAGTTCTCACTTCCTTCCGGTCCCAGGATGCTCTCCGCGTGGCGTGTCAACTAGGACTTCCGGTCTGTCCAGTAAGCCTAGTCACATTGATAGCACTTTCCTTTTCGCGGTGTCCTCTTAATGCCAGTTGATTCCGGCGAATTAAAATCTTTCCGTGTAGGAACAACATGTTGAGGAAATTCCGTTCCGCAGAGCCCTTTCCGGAGATTTCCGTACTTTCTCTCTCAAGCCTGGGCGTGGCTGGGGAGGGAGGGTTCTGAATCGTGACAGCTCCATGAGGCGAGTTCGCACGGCCAGTAAAGGGCGCTGTTCTCCCACGTCCAGGACCGGCGTATTCCTGAGCACCACAGCCTGAGGCAGCGGCGCCAAAGGGCTACTGAATCCTCATGGCCGTGTCGCCGCGAGAGCGAAGGCTGGTGATCTCCTCTGGGCTGAGCTCATCTTGCGTCTCCCTGCCCGCAGGTCTCACTGCCCCACTCCCTAAGGATTTGAAAATCCTAGGTGACCTAAGGGGTGACGGTGGGAGTCAAGCACCGCTATAGGGCTTAACTCTTCCTGAGGAACTCCGGTGGGTTCCCGGGGTCTATTCTTTTATTTAGGGGAAAAGGCATTTCCTTGAGCTGGAAAAACATGAACATGGTCGTCCGAGATGCTTGGGAAATCATATTCTAACCTTCAGGGGCAGACTGTATTTATTAAAGAATAGATCCCTTATTGTTTAGAGTGGAATTGTAACATTTAGTGAAAGTGCATAGAGTGAGGCTTTTTCAACGTAAAGCGTCAAAGGCATGCCGGCCAGCATATCTAGCAATGAAAAAACAGTGGTGACTAAAGCAGATGTTGTTCCCGCTCTTGGGGTCTGGTAGGGGACTCACATTCATCGACGAATCATAGAGAACATTATGATTGGGGTATGTACTGTGAATACATAAGCACACATTCCTGTGTTAGCCAGAGTTCAACACTAAAAACTCAATATAGTGTTTATGTCCCTGTACTTACCAGCCACATTTAAAAGGATTTGACATTTGTGCCCAAATTGGGGGAATTTTAGCTATATTCGCCTTTTTGATCTCTTCTTCAGTTGTTTTTCTCTCAAGTTCCTCAATAGCACTGGGTGGATCTCTATGATTAGATTTCAATGCTAGTTCAATGCTTGGCACAAAATAGGTTTTCAGTTAACAAGTAAGTATTAAAATAACAGTATTTGATTACCTATTTTAGGTGCTATATAAAGCTGAGTGAATGAATGATAAGTGCACACAACTATAAACATGTCTAAAGGAGATAACCTGAGCTAGAACGGATTCAGGAATGATTAATTTTTTTTAAGAGAGAGGGAGGGGGGAGAGAGAGAATTTTAATATTTATTTTTTAGTTATCGGCGGACGCAACATCTTTTTTTGTATGTGGTGCTGAGGATCGAAATGGGCCGCACCATGCCAGGCGAGCACGCTACCGCTTGAGCCACATCCCCAGCCCTGGAATGATTAATTTTGACTTTAATTTTATACATGTGGAAACAGAGTCTTGGCAAGAATACATAAGGAAATCCAACACAGAAACCAGAGACAGATCCTACACCAGACTTTCCTTTGCCTCTTTACATAAGTGAGTGAAAGTGTAGGTAAGTCTATGTTCTTTTCCAGAGGGTAGATTTTGCTGGTGGATGATAAAACCCCAGGAGCACAGATTAAAGTATTTTGAAGAAGGTGATAATAAGGGAAGAAATAGTCAAAATGGTCTTCAGAAGTATTGTCAGGGCTAGAGATACAAAAGAATTGCCTTGCAATTTAATGTTTAAGTTTACAGACATTGCATATGATGGGTTCAAAATTAATAATACCTTCACATGTTTTGGAAGCTGAACTTCTGGTGACATACTATTTCTTTGCAGAAAGTATAGTGTCATTAGAAAAACAATACAAAATTTTAGAAAAGGGACATTTAGAATTAATGTTTTAAAATTGCTTAATGGTGTCTTCAGCATTCTTAAAACTGTATAAGATTTTACAAAATACAGTTTAATGAATAGAAAATGTGAATAGAAATGTACATGACATACTTTTAAAAATTTCTTTTGGCAGTGGGATAGAACTCAGGGCACTTTACCATGGAGTTACATCCCCAACCCTTATTTTTTTTTTAAATTTATTTTGAAACAGGGTCTGGCTAAGTTAATGAGGTTGGCTTCAAACTTGTTATCCTTCTGTGTCAGTCTCCAGAGCTGCTGGGATTACTGGTGCATGCCACCATGTTGGGCTATGAAGTTAATTTTTGAATGTTAAGTTTTAATTTTTATCATTCAGCATATATTAACTACTTACTATTTGTAGCACAATATATTACTGTAGTATGTCCAAAACCAAATTAGTTACAGAGCATTTAATGAAGTAGAAAGAAGACATGGCCTCAAAGAGCACCCCAAGTGTGGTTGGTTTCAATCCCCAGTACTAAAACAAGGTAGAAACGAAAACACATATACAGCCAGGCATGATGAAGCATGCCTGTAATCCCAGTGGCTGGGGAGGCTGAGGCAGGAGAGTTGCAAATTTAAAACCAGACACAGTAATTTACCGAGGCCCTAAGCAACTTAGGGAGACCCTGTCTCAAAATAAAAAATAAAAAGGGATGGGGATGTGGCTCAGTTGTTTAGTGCTCCTGGGTTCAATCTCCAGTACCAAAAAACAAACTATCACAAAAAAATCCCAATAACAAACATATACAGATTACTAAAATAGGGCAGGGTGTGTCTTAAACCCAATGCTATAAGAAACTTCTAGGTTGTTACTTAGGGAATATTGCTTAAAGAATGTTGCATCTAAACTAGGATTATAATTATATACTTGCTCTAAATATGTAAATTTTTCTTATACCTAAATATTATTTTATTTAGTCACATAAAAGAAATACCAATTGCTCTGTTCATTTTTATGCAAATTATTTAAGAATGTATAGTCATATTTGGATCAGAATACACATATTATTATATATAAGTTGGAAACTATTTTGAACATTTTAAATGGGAATGATCATATTGCTCTAATATTATTTAGTTAGTTTACACTAAGTTTTATATTTCCTATCTAAATAACAGAGTTTCAATATTTAATGAATGTTCAGAAAGTGTTATATTCTAATAGTCTTACTTTTAATAAAGAATAGCTTAGAAATCAGTTCTTCAGTTCTAGCAGTTCTGTTGTACTTTTCCTAAGTCTAATATGAGAATTATTGAACACTTAGGTAAAGAATTTTTGTTGTTGAAAATTTGTATTTTTGAATAGATGGGTTTATGGCTTTATGATATAAGCCTATGACAATTAAAAAGAAAAACACTGAGTCTCCATAGAAAATGAATAAATACTGATTAACATTTGACAGTTAGCTCTTATATGTGTGTGTGTGTGTGTGTGTGTGTGTGTGTATATAATGTTTTTTGTTTTTTTTTTTGGTACTGGGATTGAATTCAGGGTCACTTGACTACTCAGCCACATCCCTAGTCCTATTTTGTATTTTATTTAGAGATAGGGTCTCACTGAGTTGCTTAGTGCCTTGCCATTGCTGAGGGTAGCTTTGAATTCACAATCTTCCTGTCTCAGCCTCTGAGCTGCTGGGATTACAGGCATGCACCATTGAGCCTAATTTAGCTATTATATTTGTGGCATCTACAATTTGTCATTAACTTGAATGATTATTTTTATGATGTGTGACTCAGGAGTTAGCAATAATGGAGACCAACAAATTTCCTTTTTGTCTTACTCTAAGCCATTTAAGGTATTGTCTTATTGTGAAAGATAGGATTCTATGAATTACACATAATGTGATACTTGGGTACTTCCCTAAGGACATGTATCCTGGGTGTTGAAAGCATTCCACCAGATTTGTTTAAATTGATCTGTATTTCTTCCTGGACTATTGAAACAATAATATTGTTAGCTAACATTAAGAGTAGTTATAACATGCGAAGTTCTGTCATAAAGTCTTTATAGTTAACCTGTGGAAGAAGTACTATTATAATCTCTAATTTGTACCTGAAGAAATGGAGGCACATAGAACTTAAATGATGTGGTGACACTGGTTAAGTGGTAGAAGTAGATTTGAACCCACACAGTACCAGGCATGGTAGTAGGAGAATAGTAAGTTCATGCCCAGCCTCAGCAACTTAGTGAGGACCTGTCTTAAAAATAGAGACCTTCAGTGATACACAAAATTATAAGAGGTTATGAGGGGCAAGGGGGTGGGGGGAAAAAAAGGGGAGAGAATTGAACAACAGCAGAGGAGGTAGAGAGGGAAGATGGGAGGGGAGGGGAGGGGAGGGGGGATAGTAGGGGATAGGAAAGGTAGCAGAATACAACAGTCACTAATATGCCATTATGTAAAAATGTGAGTATGTAACAGAAGTGAGTCTGTATTATGTATTTGGGGAGTTCAAAACCCAATTGAGTCGAATGTATGAAAGATGATATGTCTTGAGCTCTGTAATGTTTTGAACAATCAATAAAAAAAATAATAATAATAAAAATAAAAAAGTACTGGAGATATAGCTTATTAGTAAAAGTGCCATTGCTTTAAATCTCCAGTACTAAAACAAACACACTAGTATTAGCTCTAGAATCCATGCTCTTCTATAATTACTGTTCTGTATTGGCTTTCAAATATTCCCTTATTAGGTCTCCTAATTTTTAGTGTCTGTGCTATATTTGATTCAGTATTTTCCTAGTATCAGTATCAGAAGTTCCAGTATTTTCCATTTCTGTCAACTCCATACCCTTGTTCAAAAACATTCAGTAACTCTCATTTCATATCAAGATAAAATTCACAGCAAACATGGCCTTCCTAAAATCTTGTCCCACAACATCCTTTTCATCCATACCTTTCATTAATTCCCTAAGAAAACCTTTCATACTAACCTAACTACTCTACTTCTCTACTCTCCAAACATTGTAATTTACTTCTTTATCACTTTATTCATTTTTTGACATTTAGTAGTGATCTGTGTCAGATATTTATAAATTATTACAGATAATGTTTTGGTTTAGAATTCTCATTCATGTCTATTTATAAGGGGGTCTTTATTAGAATGTTTGAAAAGTTTTTTTTTTTTTGATGGTAGGAATTTGGAGATAATCTGGATGACCATCCCTGGAAGAGTAGTTCAGTAAAATGTCAAAGATGAACAATATGGATTTTAGGAGCACAGGATGACCATGGTTTTGATTTGCCCTGGACAGCCCTTTAAAACTGTTATTCCAGTGTAATTATTGAGAGCACCTTTTACTTTTATGGTTCAGATGATAAATTTTATGGTCATTTACCATAAAAGTAACATACAATTTTATGGTCATTTTACTATCCTACTTATGGTCTTAACCACTCAGTAATTGGAAGCAGTAGGTTGTATATCCACATGGCAATATAAATGTGCTAAGGGCAAAAAATAAAAAATAGTATGTTATATGTAATAGGATGCCATTCACATAAAATAAACATGCAACACTATAATAATATGCATTTTATGATAACATATACAAAGTAATATAAACACAAAAGAACAATTGCTTAAGGAGGGGCAAAGAATGGTATGAGGAGTGAATTATCAGAAGGAATCGAAGAGGAACATTTCATGGACCAGTAATGATAATGTGTCAGCAGCTGTAGAGCATCGTTCACTGTATGTGAGGTTCAATTAAAAATAAACAACAACAACAATGAGCAGGGGTTGTGGTAGTGGCTCAACAGTAGAGTGCCTGCCTAGCATGTGCAAGGTCCTGGGTTCAATCCTCAGCGTCACATGAAAATAAATAAATAAAATAAAAAGGTATTGTGTCCAACTACAACTAAAAAGTATTTTTTAAAAACCAAAAAAAAAAAAAAAACCCCAAAATAACGAGCAAACAAAAAGTTTAACTGTATCAATCCCTAACTTAAAAGTCTTTCACAAAGTTCCCAGAGTTTATAGGAAGAAGCTCATGAGCCTTATGGCCTGACTCCTGTGTAGGAGTATATTTATGTATAAACATAAAAAAATGGACAAATCAGGGAACAGCCTGTGCTCTTGCCTGGCATGTGTGAGGCACTGGGTTTAATTCTCAGCACTACGTATAAATAAATAAAATAAAGGTCTATCAACAACCAAGAATTTTTTTTTTAAATGGACAAATTATCTAGGTATGGTAGCACTTGCCTATAATCCCAATTAAGTTGGGAGGCTAGGCAGGAGAATTGCAAATTAGAGGCCTGTCTCAGCAATTTAGTGAAGCTTTAGGCAATTGAATGTGACTGTTTCTCAAAGAATAAAAATAGCTGGGATGTAGCTCAGTGGTAAAGAGAGCTCTAAGTTCAATCCCTAATTTTAAAAAAAGACAAATTAATTTATAAATTTATGCCACTTCACTATTTGAATAGCTGTGTGTGGACAATTTTTACAGAAACTGGTTAAAAAATAGGTTCATTTGATTACTATGTATAGGTATAGTTAGGGTCTCAGTTGTGCATTACTATGCTTGAATTATGTTGTTCAGATGGACAGTAATTTTTTTTTTTTTACCTTGTGTCCATAGCCAAGTCCAGACTCAGAGTCCAAAGGTTATGATTTCCAAGATAGATGCTAGATTATATGATTCTTTCCTGGTGGGGATGGAGGAACAGTGGAGACTCAGCCCAGTCCAGGTAAATATGCCTCTGTATTCAATGTGGTGTATGTTTCTATACTATATAGCATTTCAAAGCAGTAAGTTAACAGTTCAGTGTCTTTTGAGATTCTATGGTTATCAGTACAAGTTTTTAAATTTTTAAGTTTCAAAGTAACATTTAAAAGTGAAATATTTGATATACAGTTCTTGTAAATTTAAGATAATAGTTGAATGCATATTTACTTTTTTAATATTTATTTTTTAGTTGTAGTTACACAAAATACCTTGTTTTATTTATTTATTTTTATGTGGTGCTGAGGATCGAACCCATGGCCTTATACGTGCTAAGCAAGCACTCTACTGCTGAGCCACAACCCTAGCTGCATATTTACTTTTTATCCCAGCATTATAGACTTATCTTAATGGTTGGGATGACTGAAGTTGTCAAAAAGAAATAGCTTTTTTTCCTTTGGAATATTTTATGAGATATTAATAATAAAAATAGTAGTTTGATATGAGAGTCATAATAGAAAAATGTATTTTTGGTGCTAATGGCTATTTATACAGAATATTCACAGGAACTTACTAAACTATTTCTTGGTACAAAAAAGGAAGAAGAATTATTTTTAGGCGTATGAAAGAAAATGGAAGAGATGAAGTATAGTTGCCATCTGCTTTCATTTCTGTCAGAAACCACTTACTCTGAAACCAGTATGTAATAGATTCTTTTTGCAAATTGGGGCTGTATCTATTTTAAGGTACAAAAGTTATTTGGAAATAAGATATGAAACTTCTACTGAAATATATGATAAACATTTGAACATTTATAAGCTTTTATGTAAAAATGACTTGGCTTGATATTCTTAATTACAAGATGAAGAATTTAATGAAATTGTGACATTGCATTTTCTTCTAAACTCTAATCCAATTAAAAACTCTGTAATCGGGGCTGGGGTTGTAGCTCAGTGGTAGAGTGCTCACCTAGTGTGTTCGAGGACCTGGTTTGATCCTTAGCACCACACAGAGGTGAATAGATAAAATAAAGATATTGTGTCCAACTACAACTAAAAAATAAATATTAAAAACCCTCTATAATCATTTTTTATATATTATTTTAATCATGAGGAAACTTATAGACACCATTATTTGTATATTAACTACTAATCCAATGAGAATTATATCTTTGATGATAAAGTTCTTAAGTAAAAAAGCTTTTCTTTAGTTACCCCTCATTCTTTATGGAATAAAGTCCTTACCTCTTAGCCTAACATTCAGGACCTGCTTTTATTTGCCTGCAACTATTTTTCCAGTTGCTCTCCTACTACTATTCTTCTTGAGGTCTGCATTCCAGCCAAACTAAAGTATTCATTGTTCTTTTTCTCATTTTCAGATTTCTTTCTCTTGGTCTTTTCTTTGCTTAGGCTGCCACCATCTTAATTCTTTTTTTTTTTTTTAAATATTTACTTTTTAGTTTTAGGTGGACACAATATCTTTATTTTACATTTACCTGGTGCTGGGGATTGAATTTCAGTGCCTCATGCATGCTAGGTGAGTGCTCTACCACTGAGCCACAACCCCAGCCCCACTATCTTAGTTCTTACATGGTCTGAAATCTCCACCTAAAATCATTATTATCTCCAGGCTGTCTTCTCTGATATACTTCCTTCCAATAACTTTTAATGGTCCCTTAACACTTCCTATGTTAGGCATGTTTAAACATTTTCTAGTGTTAAGACTAATATACTTGTTTTCTGCTAGATATATTACCATTCTTCTCTGTAAAACTTACAGTATCTAATATGGTTACTTACATGTAGTAAATACTGATCAATAACTGATCAAATAATGAGATAAATATTGAATTCTTAAATTTCAATAAGGTATTAGAGGTTATTAAAAAACAACTCAAGTATTTAATAAACTGTTTGCAGAAGTGATTTTGATCTGTATTTTTGATATTGAGAGATAAATTAGACTTTACCCTAAAAACAAAGGGGAACCATTGGAGGATTTTAAATGGGGAAAGATAGGAGAACTGATTAAAAGGTGAAAACTTATAGGTTGAAAGTTACTGTGAAACTATAAAAATCATCTAAGGATGAATTTTAATATCTAAACTAGGACCCTGAAAATAAGAATATGAGAAAATACATAGATTGTGGGATAATATTATAGGATTTAATATTTGATTAAGTATGAGGAATGGGAGTTAGAGTCACTCCCAGATTTTCTTGGAAAACTGAGTGGATGATGTATTCTCCACTGAGAGAAAGATTTTGGAGGAAAGAGTTTAGAAGCAAGTAGCAAATATGGAAAGTTAAATTTTGTACATGCTTCACAGGTGTCTGTGAAGATATTCAAGGGTCTAGATATATTTTAGACAATTGGATATATAAAGGTCTGAAGCCTGGGGAAAAAATCTGAACGACAGTGGGTGGGGAAGGGAGGGAGGGAGGGAGATATTTTACAGTTTTTCAAATTCAGTTGGAACATGAGACCATATTTGATATTTATCTAAAAACAAACAAGATAAGATTTTGGATTGTTTACAGAAGTGACTTCTTGCACATATGAACTATCACACCAAGAGTTATATACTTGCCACTATAGTTATAGGACTATGTTTCTTTTTGTTAGTTTTCAGTAATAACTCTAACAAAATACCTAGGATAATCAACTTAAAAAAGAAAAGGTTTTCTTGAATTCCAGTTTCAGAGGTTCTAGTCCATAATAAAATTGGCTCCATTGCCTTTGGGCCTATGGTGTGGCAGCATATCATGGTGGGGAGTACATAGACAGTGCCTGGCTGCTTACCTTATAGAGGCCAGGAGCTATAGATAGATAGATAGATAGATAGAGAAATAGATAGATAGAATATGACTAAAACAAGCACATGAGCATGCACCCACTAGACTCAACTCTTAAAAGATATACCACTTCCCAATAGCACTGCAGGCTGGGTACCACACCTTTAACATGCCTTTGGGGGACATTGATTCAAACTATAGCAATCTCCAAGTGTCAAATTAAAAAGACTTGGATTAATAAATGATACGTAATTACCTATTCAAGTTTAAGAATTCTAACATTGTGAAATTAAATTTATGAAAAATTATTGACTAAAAATACATCTGAATAAAAATGAATAAAGCATTCATGTCTACTTAGTTCAAATTTTATTATCTCCAGAAGTTTTTTTAAAAAAATATGTTTAGTTGTTTTGTTTATTTAGTGTTTTTTTTTTTTTTTTTTTTTTTTACATGGTGCTTGGGATCAAACCCAATGCCTCACATGTGCTAGGCAAACATTGTACCACTGAGCCACAACCCAGCCCACCTCCGGAAGTTTTAATAGTGTCTGGGCTTTCTTCAGTTGTTATCAGTAGTCAATAACATTTGACTATTTTTTCAGGCATTATTTATGTGCCAGGTTGTGCTCATTACTTTGAGTCCATTATCTTATTTCATTCTCACAACATACCTATGAGAAGGGTGCCATTAACATTTTCTTTTTACATATGAGGCTCAAGAATGTGAAGTTATTTGCCCAAGGTTATATAATTGGTGGTTAAAACCAAGTATATCTCACTCTAAGGTTGGTTTTCTGAACTTCTGAATTATATTATTACTAGTCTGTGTGTTGTCACCGATGAAAAACTTGTCAGGCCCATAGACAAATGTATTTCTGTTTCAGTGTGTACTGAAACAATTTGAACCCTCAGGTTTACTAAGATTATTCAAAGACATAGTATCATTTTTAACCAGTATAATGGTATAAAATAGGTGAATTAGGGAGCATCAGTCATGTTGCACCTTTCGTGTTCTGTTTTGGAGCCTGGGAAATCATGTTTGTAGTAGATATGGTCAGAGTATAGGCAAAAAAATCATAATGTGTAATCAGAGGTTATTATTCAGAGATTGGTTTGTTGTTCCTTCTAATTTGGGAATATTTAGTTCTTGCTTTTTGCCTCTGATTTTGATAAGATTGTTTATTTACTATAAATTACTTTATTTTCATCCAATGTATTTTTGTCTATCCTGATTGTCATATCAGAACATTACTTCATACTGTAATTACTAACTACTATAATTAATGTTCTAGTATATAACATTTAAGATAACAGTGAAGCCAGATACAGTGGCCCATGCCTGTAATCCCAGTGGCTCGGGAGGCTAGAAGGAAGATTTCGAGTTCAAAATCAACCTTATCAAAAGTGAGGTGGTAAGCAACTCAGTGAGACCCTGTCTCTAGATAAAATACAAAATAGGGCTGGGGATGTGGCTTTGTGATTGAGTGCTTCTTAGTTCAATCCCAGTATCCTCTCCCCACCTCCCCCTCAAAAAAATAACAGTGAATGCATGAAGTTTGTTTTCAGAGAAATGTAAATAATTAATAATATTCTGATATTATATTTGAAAACTTATTTTAAGTTGATAATGAATTAAACTGGGTGAAAGTATTAAATAATAAGGTGTACATTATAGTCATCTCTATAAAATTACTATTCCACAACCATATCATATAATAAGTATAGATTTGGGGCTGAGGATAAGCTCAGTGGAAGTGTGTTTGCCTAGTATGCATAAGGCCCTGGGTTCAATCCCCAGTACAACCTCAAAAAAAAAAAAAAGCAAACAAATAAAATAATAATGCCAAATGTACATCTAGATGAAATAAATTTTAGTTTTCCATAGCATACATCACTGTATTAAGTGACTAAGAGTAGGTATATATTAACATAAAATCTGGATGATATTGTAGTCTCTACTTGAACATATTCATCTTTTTTTTTTTTTTTGCCAGATTTTCACTCAACCTACTGTCTTAGCTTTGATATCACTTTCTCTGAGAGGAGTTGACCCTGTCTACCTGCCCCTACTTTCTACTTCTGTGGCACAACATACCACATTATCATGAAAATGTATTTATTATTGAGTAGACTGTATTTATTACAAAGTATACTGTATTTGCATCTGAAGGACATATATGTTTTATTTACTTGCGTCCCTGCCATGTAGAGTAAATGCCAATGTATACTTGTTCAATGAAATAATAAATTAGTGAAAAAACATTTGAATTAAGGGTCAGGAAAGCAGCCTTAGCCTCATGGGCCATATTGCACATTTGCCTTAATGGAAACTTTATTTTAGTTTGTGTTAAAGAGAAATTCTTTTAAGTAAAAATATGTGGTTGCCCCAACTATACAAGGAAATTATGAGTCAGAAAGATGGATGTATGTTTCCTGTTGATGTTGTAATAATTTATCACAAACTTGGTGGTTTAAAACAAATATTTTTTATTTCTTTGAGTAGGAATACTGAGTACATGTGTCTCTTAAGACATCAGTGGAGTTGAGGAAGCAGATTGAGGGGGAAGGAGGAAGAACAGGATAAGGGAAGAACAATAGAATGCATCTGATCTGACTTTCCTATGTACATGTATGAATATACCACAGTGAATCTCACTATTATATATATCCACAAGACACTAATTTTAAAAAAGCTAAGTAAATATCAGAAAGATCAGTAGAGAAAAGGGAATAGGGGGAGGGAAAAGGGAAAAGAAATGGGAAGTACTGGGGACATATATTCCATGCTTTTATATTTATGTCAAAATAAATCCTAATGTTATGTATAACTAAAAAGAACCAATAAAATACTTTAAGACAAAAGACATATCTTTATAGTTGCATCCAACATTTTGTAAATAATTGACCCAGTATTTTCCACCATAAATTTACAGTTTTTCCTTGTTATTAAGGAAGATGGATTTAGTAGGGCACCTACAAGCTAAATCACTACAAGGGATGTAAACACTGAATAGAACAGTTAAAACAAGAAAAATTTTATTTTATCATTTGTTTCCCTGATGAATATGTCTTTAAAGTTTGTGTGTGTGTGTGTGTGTGTGTGTGTGTGTGTGTGTGTGTGCCTCAACCATGCTAGGGCACAGTCTATCAACTGAACTATACCGGTAGTTCTATAGTTCCTTTTTGGTGTCTCTGCATTTCATTTTTTTGGGTGTCATTTGATACTGTTCTTTCTGATTATTTCTCTGAATCTAGAAAGCATTTATTTGGTATAGGAGAAAAATTAAATACATGTGAAAAAAGTAATAAAAATGTACAATAATATGCTAATCTGTATATAATGGTATATGGAGATATCAGATGAATTTATTAATTATGAAGAAATTAGAATAAAGGAATGAACTAAATGGGATTACATTAAGCAGGGACTTACTAGAATTAAAGATTTTTGATGAGAATTGGGTGGAAGAAAGATAAACTTATAATAAGGAAATTGACAGAATAAAAAGATTATGAAACAGGAATTAGCAAATCATATACACAGGAAAAAGAAAACAGACATTTGACTACAGTAGAAGCCTCTCCCCAAAATGGATTAGAAGTTTCCTTAAAGCAGAGAGGGATCAAACTGTTAAAGTTCATGAACTATTCATGTTTTCATTGTTTGAGGGGTTTCCTGAAAACCTTGCTTATTATTGTGCCTCTAGAGAAATGATCATGAAATCTAAACAGGTATTTTGAATTTTTGGAGTAAGCCATTTATAAAATTAAGACCTGTCTACAAGGTAGTGTGGTGGGGGAAATAGCTTTGTGTGATGGTCAAGCAACTGACGTGTAGTATCCCAAATAGCAGTTATGAAAAGCCACTGCAGGTGCAAGTTTATTTAAAAACAGACCACAGTGCAGGTGCAATTCTCCATATAAACATTTAACCACAAAATTTTGCCCTGAGTCTATGTGGAAAGCTGTTGGAAAAAAAGAATTAGCTTTTTTGTTTGTCTTAATTTTTTAATTTTTAAAGAATTTGGGATAAAGTTTCTTCATCCTGGTTTGAATTCTTTTTATATTTAGTTTTTTTCCTACTGATATCTATATATAAGTTTTACATGTGCTGTAATGGATAAAGGTCAATATTGTAATCTCTGCATGCAAGAACCAAAGTGTTTAGGGTTAAGAAAAAAGGCAATTAGAAGAAATTTCTCCACACAGTTGTGAAAAAATAGTCTTAATGGCTTTTGGTATTGCAGGAAGTAAAAAGGACTGGAATTTAGACCTTTACTTTATCTTTAGCTTTAAAATGACTAAGATTGATTTTAAAATTCAGAATAGATTCTTAATTTGTACAATTTAAATAGAAAAAGGTTATTCTACAAGTACATGTGTCATCTCCTATGCTTCCCCCATCCCTAAAAACACCCTGCTCCGTCTGTGGAGTTTTCTTCCTTGCTCCATGTCCATGTAGAAGGTAAAAATCACAGGTTGCCTGACACATTGGTTTCCATATTGGAGTGAAAACTGGAGTAGAGTCATTAGCCTAACCTACCCAGACTTCTGACTTAAAAGAGCTTTCTATATAATCAATTTGTATTGTTTTAAACCATTTAATCTGTGGTAATCTAAGCCAACATAGGCTCCTTCTCATTTGTTTTTCTTTTAGCCTTTAACAAATTTGGGAAGCTGTATTTTGGGGAAGAACCCTCTCAAATCAATTCCCCCATATATCTTTCTTGTGGGAGTGTCAATTAATTCTGGGTTTCTGAGGTGATGATGTGTTCCTACTTATAAAACTAAACATGAAATTTCTCTGTATCACACTGTAACTATTTCAGATATAAAATCTTTATGTCAAGTATACATTTTACAGTCTTTTAAAATTACTACTTTTTTATCCTACTCTGGAATCAATAGAGATTCTGGAGTCTATTCATGAAAATGCTAAGGAAATGAAATAATATAATTTTTAAAGATTCAGGATTGATGACTCTCATTTCATTTATCCTTTATGATAAACACCATGATGCTTTCAAATATATTTAGGGCTTTGTACACAAATATATATTTATTCTTTTGTGGCACTTTTGGAAACACTAAGAAGTTACTTCTAAAATCTAAAAGACTGTTAGATTACTTGGAATTTAGGGATTGACATTTAATTTTAGGTTTAAGGTAGACTTCACTTTTTTTCTGATTTTTTGGGGGGGAGTTGATTGGGCAATTCTCTTCATTACCAAAACTTTTTTTTTTGATTTCACATTCAAGGACAAATGAGAAATATGCATTATTACATTATATGCAGAACTTAATCCATTAAGAGGAAAATTGGCTACATCTTAGATTTGAAGCCAAGAAAGTCAATACAAATATCATCATCTTTTAAGTGTTTATGTGACAAAATGCCAGGATGCTCTATCTTTTATTTTAGAGAAAATTTTTAAGGGGAGAAATTAGATGATATTAAAGATAGAGGTTGAAGCAGAGACTTTTTAAAAATGATAAATGTTTATGCTGTTGTTATGGATGAAATAGGGAATATCAGTGTGTGGTAGTATGGATATATGAGTTAAATAAGAAATAAATTACTATACTAAAAAAATGTGCTTAGCTGGGTGTGGTGGTGCATGCCTGTAATCCCAGTGGCTTGGGAGGCTAAGGCAGAAGGATCAGGGTTCAAAGTCAGCCTCAGCAAAAGCGAGGTACTAAGTATTGAGACCCTTTCTCTAAATAAAATACAGAATAGGGCTAGGGATGTAGCTCAGTGGTTGAGTGTCCCTGAGTTCAATTTCCAGTACCAAAAAAAGGGGGGGCTTATTAATGGATTATTGTTAGCTTATATATAGGACTTTAGATGTATGCCATGGAAATCGATCTCAAGCATTACATTACTAATTTTCTTAATGACTTAAATGAGGATCTGATAGCATGTATGTCAAATTTGCAGATACTGCGAAGCTGAGAGAAATAACTAGTATGTGCAGTTTCAGAATCTGGATGAAAGAAGAATCTAATAAGTTATAATGTTGTGCTGAGGTTAGCAAGGTAAAATGTAGGGACCAATGCTAAATCTTATATCCAAATCCCAGATAAATATTTAAGTATTAAATGTCATTATTTATTTATTATTACTTATTATTTTTAATTGGTACATATTAATGATATAGAATAGAGGGTTTCATTGTGGCATATTCATTATGTGCATGGAACATAATTTGAGTAATTTTGCTCTGTGGTTTATCCTTGTATCTTTGCCTCCTTCCCCCTTTTCCTCTTCCTCTACCATAATGATTTTCCTTCTATTCTTTTGTCCCTCTAGCTTGCACATTTAAGACAAAAGATGGCTGGACGTGGTGGCACATGTATATGATCCCAGTAACTAAGGAGGCAGAGGCAAGAGAATTGTGAGTTCAAAGCCAGTTTTTTTAGCAGATTAGTGAGGTACTTAGCAACTCAGCGAGACCTTGTCTCTAAATAAAATATTAAAAAGGGACTGGGAATGAGGCTCAGTGGTTAAGCACCTCTGGGTTCAATCCCTGGTACCAAAAAAAAAAAATGAGTGGGCTGGGGCTGTGGCTCAGTGGTAGAGTGCTTGCCTACACATGCAAGGCCCTGAGTTCAATCCTCAGCACCACATAAAATTAAATGAATAAAATAAAGGTATTGTGTCCATCTACAATTAAAAAATAAGTATATAAAAAGAGAGAAAAGATGATAATTTTCTGAGTCTAGCTTATTTCATTTAATGATGCTTTGCAGTTTCATCCATTTTACTGCTAATGAAATAAATTCATTATTCTTTATGGCTGAATAAAACTCCATTGTGGATATATACCACATTATCTTTATCTTCTGTTGAAGGACACCTAGACTGATTTCATAATTTGGCTATAGTGAATTGTGCTGCAGTAAACATGGGTATACATGCGTCTTTAATTCTTTTGGATAAATACTGATGAATAATATAACAGGACCATAAGTAGTTAAATTTGTAGTTTTTGAGGAGCCTCTATACTGATTTTCATGGTGGCTCTATCAACTTATATTCCCACCAACAGTTCATAAGAGTTCCTTTTTCCCATACCATCACCAGCATTTATTGTTTTTGATATGCTTGTAGATTGCCATTGTGACTGGGCTCAGATTATAGGTTTGATTTGCATTTCCCTGATGGCTAGAGATGTTGAACATTTTTTCATATAATTTTTGGCTATTTGTACTTCCTTTGAGAAGTCCCTGTTCAATTCATCTGCCCATTTTTTTTGTGTGTTGAGATTTTTGAGTTCTTTATATATTCTGGATATTAATTCTCTGTTGGAAGAGTAGCTGGTAAAGATTCTCTCTCATTCTATTGGTTTTCTTGTTGCACTGTTTTTTTTCTTTGCTGTGCAAAAGCTTTTTAATTTGATGCCTTTCCCCTTATTGATTCTTGCTATTAATTTCCTGAGTTATAGAGTTCCTAGTCGGGAAGGCATTGCCTGTGTCTATATATTGAAGTGTTTTTCCTTTTTTTCCCTAGCAGTTACAAAGTCTTTGGTTTTATATCTAGGTCTTTGAACTGTTTTAAGTTGATTTTTATACGGAGTGATAGGGATTTAATGTAATTCTATATAGGGATATTCAGTTTTCACAAAACCACTTGTTAAAAAGACTGTCTTTTCTTCAATGTATAATTTTGGCTTCTTTGTCAAGAATCAAGTTACTGTAGCTATGTGGACTTGTCTCTGTGTCTTTTAGTCTATTTTATATATCTACACGTGTTTTATGCCAATATCATACTATGGCTCTGTAATATAATTGAAATTGTGCATTGTGATGCCTCCAGCATTGCTCTTTTTGATCAGAATTGTTTTGGCTATTCTGCATCTTTTGCTCTTCCATATGTATTTTAGTATTGTTTTTTCTAGTTCTCTGAAGACTATCATTGGTATTTTGATGGGGAGTACATTGAATCTGTAGATTGCTTTTGGTAATATGGCCATTTTAACAATGTTAATTCTTTCTGTCTATGAACATGGAGGTCTATCGACCTTCTGGTATCTTCTTCTATTTCTTTTTTCAGCATGAGCATGGAAACTCTTTTTTTTAAAAGAGGTTTTTTGTTGATTATATACTTAATTGAAGCCAGTTGTATAACGTGACTACCAAAAAAAGAGACTTTATCATTTTAAAAGTAGCATTTATGAACAAATGTTTTAACTTTGCTATATTTTGTACTGGTAGGATAACACTTGACTATTGTATACCTATCTAGATACTACATTTTAAAAGGTACATTGACAATATGGTGCCTATCTAAAAAAGATATTAATATTTGTTAGAGGACGCAAACATAGATGGAACTTTCAATTCCTTATTAATATGTTCTCCATCCTTGATTCAATCAATATATTTTTTGATATTCCTTTACTTGTACTTGGAAACAGAAGTGAGCAACAAGACAATTCTATTTTTAAGGAACTTGCATTCTAATAAGATACTAAATAAGTTGAATTAGAATTTTGAATAATGATAAACACCATGAAAAGAATTTTAAATATACCATAAAAAAGATAAAATATGTAATACATCAGTGACTGGTGATTAGTTGGGATGATAACAATCAGAAAAGTTCTCTCCAAGGCAATGGCATTTGACTTGATATTTGAATAAGGAACCAGCTGTGCAAGGATATGGAAAGAGTACCAGGCAGAGGATCTAGAAAGCAGAAAGGTCCTGAGTAGAAGAAGATTGAGGAATGATCAGTGCAAGGGAGAGTTGTGGGAAATCAGGCAGGATAATGAATTTTAATTTCTTTTAAATGTAATGATGGCCTGGGGATGTGGCTCAAGTGGTATCGCACTCGCCTAGCATGCGTGAGGCACTGGGTTCGATTCTTAGCACCACATAAAAATAAAATAAAGATATTGTGTCCACCTAAAACTAAAAAATAAATATTAAAAAAATGTAATGAGAAGCCAGTGGATGATTTTAAGTCAGATATGATGTGATTTACCTTTTGAATAGGTCACTTTGCTTAGTGGATGATTTGTGAGGTTGAAAAATTGATGTAATTAATAGTTGAATAGTTTTAAATGTGAAACCATATTCTTCCCTATATTGATTCTAAATTACTACAATAAAATTTCCTTTGCTTTCTCTTGATGATATTTTAAGATTCCACAATTTTCCACTATTAAGAGTTTTATTTATTTGATATGATCCTACAACTACTATAAAATAAAGCCTATTTTAAAAGTCTACCTCAGTGTAAAAGCTTCTTCTCAAACTGACTTTTAACTCATGTCTCCAACCTTCAGTCCCAGATAACATGGAATAAGAAATAAGATTTACCCTCCCACCTGAAACAACTTAAAAGAATTGACAAAACTTATGAAATGGGTTTTAAGACATTGGATAACGAAAGGTGGAGATTTCTAAGACAGGAAAAAATTAAAAAGACCACTACTATTGCCCCAACTTACTGCCTTAGAGAAAGTTCCAAACCCTGGCATTTCTTCCAAATAATAATTTCACACAGACTTCTCCAGAAAATTGGAGGGAGGAAATACTTCTAAACTCATTATTTTGGGCCAACATTATTATAATAACAAAGCCATACAAAGATATTGCAAGAACATTTCCAATCAATATTCCTTATGATACAAAATTTTAGTAAGTCATATCCAGCAATTTATAAAAAGGCTATTACATCATGATTAAGTGACGTTTATATTCCAGGAATGAAAGGTCAGTTTAACATTTAAAAATCAATGTAGGGCTGGGGATATGGCTCAACTGGTAGTGCGCTAGCCTGGAGTGCGTGCGGCCCGGGTTCGATCTTCAGCACCACATACCAACAAAGATGTTGTGTCCGCCGAGAACTAAAAAATAAATATTAAAAATATAAAAAAAAGTTTAAAAAAAAATAAAAATCAATGTAATTCACCATATTAATAAACTATAAAAAGGAAGATCATATGGTTATTTTCATAAACAGAGAAAATAATATAAAATCCAATATCCATTTCTGACAAAAGCTTTCAGCAAATTAGGAATAGAAGGACACTTCCTCAACTTAATAAAGGGCATCCAAGAGAAACTTATCTTACTTAAAAATTGAATTCTGAACATATGAACTTTTTAAGAGCCTGATTGTGTTATAATTAACATACAATGAAAAGCACATATTTGAACTATATAATTTGATAAATTATGACATGTGTACACCCATGAATTTATTACCCTCATGGTAGTGAACATATCCATCATCCCCAAAGTTTGTTCATTTCCTTGTATTCCTCCATTCCTTCTCTCTGTTTCCCTACCTTCCCTGGCAACCTGCTTTCTGCCAATTGTAGATTTGCTTGTATTATTTTATATATAGTAGATACTATCTTTTCAAGTTTTTGTTTGGCTACTTTCACCCAGAATAATTATTTTGAGATTCATCTATGGATATGTTACAATTTGTTTATCCAGTTTGTTTCTAGACATTTAGATTGTTTCCAGCTTTAGCCTATTTCAAACAAAGTTAACATTTCTTCCAAGTGTTCTAACCTCCCCTGAACACCCCAAGTTAAAAAAATACTATAAATATTTTCATTCATACCTTAAGTAGCATCAGCATATATCCATTTCTGTATTCCTACATATCTGCAACCGTGTTCTCATGGCCATGAGACATGTTAAACTCTTTCAGGAATGCTTTCCTAAGCTTCATTGCAGGTGTTACCTACAGGTGAGTTTGTATTTTTTGCAACTCAACAAAAAGTTGCAGACTTGATGATGATGTTGATGTTTGTGATGATGATGTGCATCCTTTCATAGCACTTATGGTATGTTTCGATCTGTTCTAACTTCTTCATATGTAGTAATACATATGAACCCTCACAAAATCTATGAAGTATGTATTGTTATTTTCCTCTTTTACAGATAGGGGAACTCCGGTTAAGTGATTTTTCTAAGGGTTGTCCCATGTCACACAGCTAGAGAGTGGTCAAATTGGGAGATAAACCCAATTAGTCAGGCTCAAGGTCCTTTCTCTTAGCTACTATGCTATACAATGTCTCAATTTCCCCTTCTTTCAGCATTACTGATATCTCTGAGTGATTTTCTTAAACTCTTTTCTCACCTGATTTTGGAGAGGGAGTCTCTGTTTACAAAGCCAACAGCTTCTGATGAGACTTGCCTTTTTTCTCTCTAGTTTTCTAATGACAGGATGAGAGTATGGGAGTGCTGAGGTGGTGATTGATGGAAGTAAATTGAAGTTGAGTTCTATTGCTTCTTTCTATTCCTTCTTTTGGAGGGAGTGTCTGGCTCACTTTAGAATTTGGGGTACTTAGTCATTTTTATTTACTGTGTGTCTAGTCCCACCATGGGAAAAGGAAAAATTACTTTTTATTACAGAGGCTGTTATAGTAGTTTGGGACAGAGGATGATGGCTTAAACTCGGGTGGTAATGAAAGGGAGACAATCAGGTGAATTTGGAATGTACTTTGGAGGTAAAGCCAACATGGTAGTTGGGATATAGGAGCAAGGAAAAGAAAGGAGTTGAAGAAGACAATTTTGGCTTGAGCAACAGGGGGAAAGAGGTGCCATTTTCTGAGATGCGGAAGATTTGAGATAGAAAGAGATTGGTATAGTATTGAAGCCAGATTTAAAGTTAGGTAGCCAGTGTAGTTAGGTAAATCGGGTATAATATAGAGTGAAATCTAAGATGGAGGCCATGCTGGGAATGACTCAGGGAAAACACTACAACTCATGGAATGTTAATGAAGTCCGAAAAGGCCCTAGGTCAAAGTCCACCTCAAAGAAGTGTTAACCAACAGCCCCAACAGATTTGGAAATAGCCCATCCCAGAGAAGTGATAATCCCATCCCAAAAGGTGATAATTAGGCCCAACTGTGTCCCACCCCTTCAAACCTACATTCCATCATCAAAACTATAAAAAGGGGAAACAACCCCACTTCCACGGATTCCACCTCTTGGGTCCCCTTCTTCCTCCGGGAGAAGTCTTTTCTGCTGTCCTTTAATAAACTTCTAATTTCTACTCTGACCTTGCCTCGGCATGCTTCTTTGGTGTTATTCTTCAACATCGGGGAAGCAAGGACTCGTCACCGGTCAACAGCGGTAACAGTATTGTGAGAGTTAATTGGTCATCAAGAGAACTGTTTTACCTAATCAAGTTTTAGAGACTGATTAGCTAGTCAGATGGAGATACTAAATAGAAAGTTGGATACAGGAATCTGAAGCTCCATGGGCAAAGTCAAGGCTAGCATTATATATTTGAAAATCCTCAGCATATCCTATATTCAAAGCCATGGGATAAAATCAAATTAATTAGGTAGAGGATGAGCAAAAAGAAAGGAGAGAATTAACTGTTGGTTCCCTCAATATTCAGATGAAGATTCACCGAGAGACTGAGGAGTCACCAATGAGACAAGAGGAAAACAAGGGGAGTATGTTCTCAGTGTCCCAAGAAAATAAAATCTTATTATGATTTGCATATCCTAAAATATAGTAAGTTGTGTCCAGAGTGAAGCATCCAGCTATTTGTTTTCAAACAAATTCTGAACTCAAAATGTCTGTTATATTGGAAATTGAAAGAAAATTTGAGTGGGAGTAACTAAATTACCCTTAAGACATCTTTTCTCTAGATGAGTCTGTCACAAAGTCTCTTATTGTATGAATCTTAAATATGAATGTAAAAATAAGCCTTTGTTTGGTGATGTATTTAGAACATGTAGTTAAGTTCTCACATAATTCACTTGAATTTAAAGGGTCCTGCTATTCACATTTTGCATTTTTTAGTGGGAAGAACATAATTGATATTGGAGATGAAATGATTTAAAAATTAAATTGGTTAAGGAGATCTAATGCATATATATGAAATTTAACTTGATAATTTAGAAACAATTATATATGTTTATATTATACATGTAAAAAATTAAATTGGGACATAAATTATTTAGTTAATGCTAAAAAAGAATATGAAAAATTACCTATATTCCAGAATTGTAAATGTAAATAAAAATCTCAGTTAATTTGTCTTCAGTATGAGCCTATTTTTTTAAGTTATCTTTATTAACATCTTGCTCTTTCATAGTTAAAGCTACTAGTCACTCCCCATTATTCCACAGGCTTCCTGTCCATCAGTTTTCAAACTTTAATGTACATTAGAATCAACTGGGGTGCTTTTTGAAAATACATACGCCAAGGCTAGATCTCCAGAAATTCTTACTATGTAAGTAGCCAAGAAATCCATATTTTAACAAATACATTCAGTGATTCTAGGCAGGTGATCTGTAGACCACATGAGGTAAAACACTGATTCTAAACCCCATATTGCCTGCATAGGCCACTCGTTTCTGGTGACAAAATTATCACATCTTTCTTTTATTAAAATAGTTTATCTTAAAAACATTTTACATAATAGAAATACAAAACTGTAAAATTAAAAGAATGGAAATACAAAATATAGAGCTCTTCTTTTTTAAAAAAATATTTATTTTTTAGTTTGACACAATACCTTTATTTATTATTATTATTTTTTAATGTGGTCCTGAGGATTGAACCCAGGGCCTTGCACATGCTACTCAAGTGCTCTATCACTGAGCCACAACCCCAGCCCTAGAGCTTTTTTTAGGTTAGTAATTATGAATTAAATAATCTTTGCTTTTATTAAAAAAAAAAAAACTTTGAGGGAAGCTTTAATTTGTCCCCAGGTATTTGGAGAGGAAGTCAAGCATTGAATATATTTTCAAGGAACTAATGACTTTTAAAAGTATGCATTTAATTTTTGGTTTCTCTCTCTCTCTCTCTCTCTCTTTGACTATAGAATAAATCAGTTATTTAGAAACTATAGTTAGGGGCAAGGAGCCCTTAGAGTGATTTATACTTCTTTGACATCCTGACCACAAACTGAAGTAATAATGTGCTTTTGAATTTGTTCCTTTCTCTCTCTCCTCCCTCCCTCCCTCCCTCCCTCTCTCTCTCTCTCTCTCTCTCTCTCTCTCTCTCTCTCTCTCTCTCTCTGTCTTTCTCTGTCTTTGTGGTACTGAGGATTGAACCCAGGGCCTCATGCATGCTAAGCAAGTGCTCTACCACTGAGCTACATTCCCAACACTTTTTAAAATTTTTATTTTGAGACCAGGGTCTTACTAAGTTGCCCAGACTGGCCTTAAATTTGAGATGCTCCTGCCTTATTCCCCCACTACCACCCAATATCTGGGATTATAGGTATGTGCCACCATGACTGGCTCTGTTTGTTTTTCTAATACAGAAAATTGTTCATGTGATTTCAGTATATTTCTCTTAAACCTAAGTAGTTTCTAAGTCCTACTGACAGTAGAAATAAAATGAGAATAAATTTTGTTGTTAGAGTAATATTGTATGTTCCAGTGGCTGGCACTTTGTTCTTGCTAGACATTCAATATACATTCTTTGAAGGAATGCAAGTATATGCTAACCTTTAATTTCTCCTTCTCCATTTTTGACTTCCAGTTTGCTTACTTATGATCTCGAAGTGTTACTACCTCTTACAATTCTAGGAGACCCCAGGAATCAAAAGTGATAGATTTGATGCTGTTGCATATAAATGTAACCAATATATTACTGGAACCAGTCCTAGGGCATAGGAAATTCTAGCATGTTGAAATAGAGGTAGGGGGTGCTCTGTCCCAAAGCTCAGGGTCTTTTTTTAATGCTAATTAAGTGAAAAAATTTAAGCAAATATTTCAACAATTCAGTTTTCTGTTGAGGCATCTCATTAAAAAAAATCTCATGAGCTTACAATTGTGAAAGATGTTACTAGATGGGAAAACAGGTCTGCCTTAATGCTATTAAATTAAAATGTGGCAATTGATTAATCCAGTATTCAACAATTTCTTCTACTTTTTTAAAATATATTTTTTAGTTATATATGGACACAATATTGTCATTTTACTTATCTTTATGTGGTGCTGAGGCTTGAACCTAGTGCCTTGTGCATGCTAAGCAAGTACTCTACCAATGAGCCACAGCCCTAGCCCATCAATTTCTCCTTCTAATTACATGTTTGGACTTATAAAATAACAGAAAGTAATATGAAAATATACGTAGATGTTTAAGTCTGGTAAATTGGTTAAAGACTAGTAGGAAAAATTGACATTAATAGAATGGAGATCTTAAAGTACTTTCATTTATTCCTTTGCTTCATCCTTTTTCCTTCCTTTCCCTTAATTTAATGGTTCTAGCTAAAACAAACGTCAGATATTTGATTTGAAGATTAATATGAATGTATCTAGATAATAAAGTTGAGGACCCCTATTTGAACATCATTTTTAATAGATTCCTAACTTGACATTATTATTTGTTTTTGGTTTACACATTTATATAGCATTAGTGCAGAATAAAAATGATTGCATCAAATCATGGTTTTTTTTTTTGGGGGGGGGGATGCCTTAGAAGAAAATGTTTTAATATGAATCATACATTTCTTTCCACTGGAGCATTTAAAGTTCAGACTTCAACCGCAGTGGTGATTGTTTTTAGTTTGTTAGTTGCAGGGAGTGTTATTTTAAGAAAGCAGAAGCAGCATCATTTGCACACTCCTTAGAGAACACACACCTTAACCCTGACTTTTTGGTTCAACTTTTGCAAAAGAAGTGAAGTCAAGATGAAGAACCATTTGCTTTTCTGGGGAGTTCTTGCCATTTTTGTTAAGGCTGTTCTTGTGACAGGTATGTAGTATTTATATAATAAACTCAGCTAAAAGGAAAAATATACTATACATCTGTTTTTCAGATTTGAAGATTTATATTTATGTTTTGGTTGGTCAGATAACCAGCTAATTTCTTCTAACATGCTTTAATCTTTATATGGATAGTGATATTTATACAGATGAAACTTGGTGTGATTCTTCTTGTTCTTTTTTCTCTTGTTTGCCTACTACAATCTTTAGAACAAGAATGTACATTTTTTTGGCTAACTGTAGATATCATATGAATGTCCACACTGATTCTTAAAAATTATTCATCCTATTGTCTCTTAATATTCTAGAGAAATGAAGTAATGATAACCATAAGCACAACGTAGAATACATTGTGATTTTATTTACTCAGAGTGAATGGTATTAGTTCTAACAACTTTCCTAGATCTGGGCTACAGATATATTATGATCCTTTAACAATGTTTAACATTAAAACAGGTTGGTATCTTGATGGCTGCACTCCTGGTATTTTGTTTATTGACTTTTCAAACAACTTAGAAAATGATCAGATTCTGGATATGGAAGTACTATGTTAAGTTGTTTTCATCTAGGGCATATGAATTAGAAATGACATAATTTGACCAGTTTAATTCTAACACTTACTGAGCCTATTTTTATTTCTAGACAGAGCATAACCAAAATGTAATTAAGAATAGCCATTGTACATATATATATGTATACATATATATATTTAATAATGGCATTAAAATAAAATAATATTTAAAATATAAAATATTAGTAATAAAGCATATATAATATATATACATGAACATGTAAAATATGTTTATAAACATGTTTATATACCTTATAAGTATATATATGAAACTATATGAAGCTATATATAAAATGAGCATCACTTATTGAATACTGTTTTTGTATTATGCTAACAGCTTTACACATTCCATTGATTTCCACAATAGCGATATGAGGCTAGGTTCCAACATATAGTTGAAGTGATTGAAACTTAAGTGAAATAGCTTAAACCCAGAGTCACACAGCAGCAAGTGATAGGTAAAATCTGACCCAATAGTCCATGCTTCTAACTACTACCCTATTCTGCATGCATAAGAGAAACCACCTTTTAGTAAACTCATGTGGTCCTATCTACAATGCATTGTTATATAGGTATTTTCTTATTTGTTTGAGTTGAATTAAATTAAACTTAACTATTTATTGAGCACTTACTAAGTCTCTCAGGCCCTCTTAGAATAAAGTAAGGCAAATCCCTAATAACAGGTTTATTAGGAAAACTACTGTCTTTCTGTGAGAGAATGTTAAAATCCAAGGGTTGATGAATTGAAAGTATCTATACTTTTTCTGGTAGATCTATTAGACTGCCTAATATTTTTATAAAATAACAGTAATGATAATCTCTTCTTTGATTTCTGGTAAGGAAATAAATTACATGCCATATAGAATATGGACATTTAAAATTTCGTATTTAATAGTCAAGCCTTTTACTTGACTCAATGTATGTTTTTAGTCAGGCATTAAATGTTTTTATATTTAATTGAAAAAAAATTTGAGAGTTATGGATACAGAAGTAGGGAAGAAGCTATCATCCGAATCATTTTACTCTTTTTAGAACATTAAGATTTGTATTACTATCTTGAATTGATTTCGTAATGCTTCTTCTCCAATACCATACAGACTTGGGACAGATTTATTAAAATATTATGAATAATGGGATAATAATGCATTATAGAGTACTTCAAGCAATTATAAGGAAAATAACAATGATCTTTAAATGTTTTTGTAATAGCTGTTATCATTATGATTGAAATGTGGCAATTAGATCTTTGCTCTGGGAATTATTTCAGGAATAATTAGACTTCCAGTTATAATCATATCTAGCCTAATCATACAGCCTTTATAACTTAAAATTTATATGCTAAATATTTTCATATTTTTAGTTGAGGCATACTGGGAGGAATTTTTAAAGGCCACTTAACTGAAATTATAAGAATATAAAGATGGGGCTGGGGTTATGGCTCAGTGGTAGAGTATTTGCCTAGCATGGGTGAAGTGCTGGGTTTGATCCCTGGCACAACATAAAAATAAATAATAAAATAAAGGTATTGTATCCATCTACAACTAAAAAATATTTTAAAAAAGAATGTAATTGATATTTAACAATTTTTAAAGTTAGTACTATTAATTAATGATATTCTTAACTCTTTAAATATTTGTTAATTGATCCAAATCCAGAAAATAAGAAATTTTCTTTGTTTATTCTGTAACATCAGACTTCTCTGTCTGATATTTAGCTTATATATTTTGACATTCAAGAGTTAAGGACCTTTTTAATGGTCATTTGTGTATTAATTCATTAATTCATTTTTTCCTGTAGACTGCCATATTATACAGCATGGCTAGTACCTCATAATATTTTCTAAATTATTTTTCAAATGTATAGAATATTCATATTATAGAATATTTTCTTTAATATCATAATATCATAGAATATTTTCTATCCTTGAAAATAATTTATACAAGAAATACTAATATAACCTTTATGTATTTGATTTGACTTAATCATTGTATCATGATAATCTGATTATTATTGTAAACAGAATATAATTAGTTTAGGAAAATTATGGCGGAGAATATTTAAAAGTTTTAGGAAATAAGGTTATCTTAGGAGAAAACATGCCTGTTCTTACCTGTAATGCAATTTAAGCAAAAAAACAACCAAATAAAAAAAAGAAAACTTTTTTTTTTTTTTAATAATGAAGACTGAGTTTTTATTTTTTTAATGTTCTTCTGAGGCTCAAATCTTGTGCTTCACACGTGCTGGGCAAGGGTTCTACCACTAAGTTACAACCCCAGCCCCCAAACTATTTTTTTTTTTGAGTTGAGGAAGGAAGGGTAAGGATATGTTTATTTTTTTAGGATGTGATATTTTAAATAAGGTTCAAAAGACAAATGCTATTTTTGTTTACATTGAATGAATTACTTTGGGGAAAAATCTAGGTTTTTGGTTTTTTTTGTAACTATTAGCCCTGATTTTTATAAGGCTGTGTCATTCAAAGACCTGTGCTTCTATTAGAAGCATTACATGAAAACTAGAATTCTTTTAGTTCAGGTTCTCATAGATTGATCTAAGGATAAAAGAGAAAATTCCCTTCAGAGTACATTTGGATTTCTTTCACTGTGATGTGAGATTCCATTTAACTATTTTATTGTTTTGGTACTGAGGATTGACCCCATGGGTGCTTGACCACAAAGCCACATCCTTGGACCTTTTTATTTTGACACAGGGTCTCTCTAAATTGCTTATGGTGTCATTAAGTTGCTGAGGCTGGCTTTGAACTTGCAATCCTCCTTCCTCACTGAGATCCACTGAGTCACTGGGATTACAGGATTACCACACCGAGCTTCAATTTAGCTGTTTAGGATTAGGAAAGACAGCAAGTAGAAAATGCTGGGATTGATTAACAATAAAGTTAATTTTTTTGCAGGCAAGAAATATAAACGAATTCAATAGAAGCTATATATACAGACTTTTGTTTTCTATTTTTTTGACAATGTATTTACCTTTCAAGCCCAAGATGAAGAAGAGAGGACTGTTCTTGCTGACAACAAATGTAAATGTGCTCGTGTTACTACCAGGATCATCCGTTCTGCTGAAGATCCTAATGAGGACATTGTGGAGAGAAATATTCGAATTATGTACGTGACACTCCATATTTGCTTTTTTCTCTGTTGTACACAGAAATATTTTATGTTACTAAGCATTATTTAGATTAATATCTATATCTTTACTTCTTTTTTGACTTGTAATACCTTACATGAGGTCGAATCATGTTAGTGAGCTTGAGGCAGTTTTGTAGAAGCTGAGGGCAGGAACAAAGTGTTCCAGACAATCAAAAAATCAGTTAAATAAAATTCTAGCCAATGATCTAGTCATTAACATATGCTGTATTTCAGTTTAAATCAGAACTTTGAATTGTCTTTAATCAGTTCAAACTGAAACTTACGATTAAAAGCCCTATTTGTACCATATATAGGCAGCTGGGTATTTTACATTTATTCAGATGTCTGTATTAAGATGAACAGAGTGGTCAAATTATCTAATTTGATTCAGTCTTCAATTGTAGAGTGGACTTTAGGTATTCATTTCACCTTACACATACTGCAGAGTTATATGTTACGTAGCTTGTATTCAATATCAAGAATACTAAAAATGTTTGAGAAATGAGATTCCTATTAGATCCAATCAGTAGTAAATTTTCCTTATTAAACACTCCTTAATAGTCTCCCCACCCCCACATCAAATACCTATCATAGAAAAAGAACACAGTGTTCAATCCCATTCAATTCATGGGAAAAGTATACTGTGTTAAAAATATTTTTTCCAAGTGCTGACTGGGTCATGTAATAAATGCATGCTTTTATAAACAAGCTGCTTGTCCACTCTAAGCTTTAGAGTTCTCATTTTTAAATAGGGGGAAATAGTGTTTACTTCATAGTGTTATTGTAAAATAAATTGAGAAGTTTTTTCCTTTTAGAGCTTATATAGTTCCTGGCATACACTAAAAAATATTTGCTATTATTCATTTATCTAACCTATGTGTCAGTTATCATTGCCACTATCCTGCTCAAAACCCTTTTGATGGTTTCTCCATTATTATTATTAGGGCATATTTCAAATTCCTATGCTTAATCTCATAACTTAGCATAACTCTCAAGATCATTCATTGCCATTTTTACTTTATGTTAAAAAATCTAGCAGTTCTTCAGTGTCTCTATTTCCTCATATTCATAGAGCTTTTTTTCTCTTGTTTTTATACCTTACTGGTTCCTCTGTTTGAAAAAACTCTTTCTACCCTCCCTTTCAGTCTGGTTAACTCTTCTTTACACTGTTTATCTTAGTTTAGCTATCACTTCTCTCTCTCTCTCTCTCTCTCTCTCTCTCTCTCTCTCTTTTCAGTACCAGAGATTCAACCCAGGGATGCTTAATCACTGAGCCACATCCTCAGTCCTTTTTGTATTTTATTTAGAAACAGGGTCTTGCTGATTTGCTTAGGACCTCACTAAATTGCTAAGGCTGGTTTTGAACTTCTGATCTTTCTGCCTCAGCCTTCCAAGTTGCTGGGATTACAGACACCTACCACCATGTCTGGCCTAGCCATTACTTCTTATACCAGGTTTTCTTTGATCACTTAGATCCCTTTCATTATTCTGTTAGGGATGGAACAATTGCAGAGGCTTGTAACTGAAAGGAATTGCATCCATGACATTGACATTTAAACCATGTTAAAGAAGAGTGTTAATCTTATATGTAAGGAAAAGAAGATTTATTTATTTATTTATTTATTTTTTGCCATACTAGGGATTGAACCCAGGGATGCTCGATGCTCTATCACTGAACTATGTCAGCCTGTTTTATTTTTTATTTTGAGAGAGATTCTTGCTAAGTTGTACAGGCTGACCTCAAAATTGTGATCCTGCTTCTTTAGCCTTCCAAGTAGCTGGGATTGGAGAGTGCCACCACACCCAGCAGAGACATTTTTCAAATAACTCTCCATGATTCTCTAATTCATCATTTTTTATAACATTATTCTTTTTATCATATTGTTCACTGAAATCAGGTAATTCAGTTACTTCATGCATCTTTGCCTGAGGTATATTGATTTTCCCTAATCTTATTTCTGAAAGTATATTACCATTGATGTATAAATATGGCATTATTCCCAACTCCATCACTTACTACAATAATGTGACTTTGGGGGAAGTAACTTAACTAATTTGAGCCTATTTCCTAAATTGTAACAAAGGAATCATTATGTATGTATATTTATACACATACATGTATGTGTATATATTATTTATACATACATTTATCCTGTTTTGCAGTTTAGGAACAGGCTCAAATTAGTTATACATATATATAGAATTCTGAGGATTAAATATAATAATTTGTGAAAGGACAGTGTTCGACTCAGAGTAGACCCTCATAATATTTAGACCATGCTTTTCTCATTATTAAAACAATTTATAAGAGTCTCTATAATCTAATAAAGAACAGATACATTCATTCATTCAACAAATAATTGTTTAATGAATGCCAAATATTATGGGTTGGTACTGGGGTTACAACAATCTATATAAAACTAATTCATTCTATCAAATAATTTGCAGTCTAATGGAAAACCTTAAATAAATGATTTAAACAGGCAATTATAGCCAGGCGTGGTGGCCCATGCCTATAATCCCAGCATCTCTGGAGACTGAGACAGGAGGATTGCCGGTTCAAAGCCAGCCTCAGCAACTGTGAGACTCTAAGCAACTCAGTGAGATCCTGTCTCTAGATAAAATACAATAGGAATAGGGATGTGGCTTAGTGGTTTTGTGCCTCTGAGTTCAGTCCCTTGGTTACCTGCCCCGCCCCCCAAAAAAGGCAATTACAACACTCCTGTGTAAATGCTATGAAAGGAATAGGCATATGATGTTATAGGAGCCCTGTAGAAAGGCGTTCAGTCCACTTTGGCAGGAGGAAGCTACAGTGGAAGGCAGAAGAATGTGTTGGTAGTAAGTCGTGGGATGGTTGATGGTTATTAGCTGAATGGTAGTTGACTGATTAAATACATATGAGGAATGAGAGGGTTGATAGTTGGGGCAAAACATTCCAGGAAAAGGAAACAGATTGCTTTGAGAATTATATGAGATTATCATGTAATATGTTTAGTATAGTACCAGGTACACTGTAAGTACTTAGTGTTTGTTTCTTGCTTAACTGGTTAAGATTTGGAGATGAGAAAACCATGTTAAGTTTGTGGAATTGCAAGCAGTTGTTTATAGATGATGGCATGTAGAGGGACATGGTGGCATTGAGAGAGAGAAAGCTGGAGAGTTAGGGGCATATTTTGAAATGCCTTCTATGCTATGTTAATAATACCCTGTTATCCATGGAGATTATATTATTGGTTAGGTGGAGAAGAAAATTGGGCTTCTATTTTAGAAAGACCATTTGGGCAATAATGTGACTAGTGTATTGGGAGGGTCAAGACAAAAGAGTGTCACTACAATGTAGGACAATGGTGGTATCCTGAACAAAGGCAGTAATAATGAGAAAAGAGACAAGTGGATGGATTTTCACATATGCAAAAAAAAGTAGATTCAACTGGACTGTGAGATTGATTAGATATAGTCTGTGATAGGAAGGAGGATTTGGGGACGGTATCCAGGTTTTTGACTTGGATATCTATGAGGATGGTATTGCTAAATATTGAGTTAGGAAACACATTTTTCTTTGTTTCTTTTGGTACCCCTCATATGGGGCACATATGAGGAGGAATGATGTAGGTGAAACATTTTAAAATTAATGAAATGGTTCCGCCCGCGTCTTGCTTCCTGAGCCGTGGCGCGAGGCAGTGACAGTCCCTGAGCTCACGGCAGGAAGCACTCGTACTGGCTGGACCTCTGGCTCTTCGTGCTCCTGGACATGGTGCTCTTCCACTTCATGTACCTCTTGCCCTGATGGGTTTGCTGACATCCCAAGATCACTGGATTCTGGAGTGAATTCTGAAAATGAACTACAGTCTTCTTGAACAAAGAAGATGGTATTGTGCTACTGCAGAATTGCAAGTCTCCAAGGGACCTTCCTTTCTTTTTACATATTCTTCTAACTCATTTGGGGAACTACTAAATGAATAGTGATCTCATTCATAGCCAAGTTCCTAAAACTAAATGCAGTGTTTCACATTTAAACTCTTTTCAAACACCTAATGTCTTTATAGGGGCTGGTGTAGAAGTAAAATTTGTACTTCAAAGCTTAGCATATTCACTGAGAAGACAGTAATGTCTTTACTGTTGTAAGGGTTGGTCTGGGTTTAATTCAGTCACATAATGGGGTGTGTAACTAGGTGAGGTGAGGTAGTTGTAAATGCCAAAGTTATTCAGAAGAGAGAAAAGAACTGGTGTTCTGAGATTGTGTAGAGGCTGTCACTAACACAATAGAGTCCACAATCTATTGGCTCTACACATGCTTAGTTTTTAAATGGTCTTTTCATGACCTTTGAAATGGCAGGTGCGTGGAGGATCACAAAAGAGATGGCATTAGATAGTGGAAAGCCCGCCTGTATGCCCTCTTGAGCACCCTCAAATAGGAATGTTTCAAGCCTGTTTTTTTTTTTTCAGATTATTGTATTAGGTATGCTTGTGTCCAAAACATTTGCTTTCATAATGCTTGTAACTTATTTGAATACCTCCGCTGGCAGTGTGATATTTACTCATCCTACAGAGCCCTCATCTTTGGCCGACAGCATTTTAAACATAGCTGTAGGCCAGACAGAAATTCTTTCCTTTGTAGAGATTGTTCTATCTTTGCTGTTCTTTTTAAAAATCTGATTGGTATTAAACTCAAATCTAATTGTTATTTAAAAAAATAAAGTTAATGAAATAATGTGAACTAGTTGATAATCTTTAAAGTTTTTTTTGGCACAGCATCATGGAAAAGTTTCAGTTTTGCTACGTTATTTGGTTAGGTTACTAACCCATCTCATTTACAATTTTCACATCTTTAAAATGTGGATAATAATATCTGCCTATTCATTTAACAAGTATTGAACATATTCCACATGTCAGATATCAAGTTAGGCACTAGGATTACAAAAGTGTTTTTGCCTAAAGAACTTAAACAGCCTAGGAAAGCAACTATAGACAAGTGACTATACGTCAATTGTTATAATAAATGTATAGGCGCTTTAATGAGACTACAAAGAATGAAGTATATTGAGGGGAAATAGATCAAAATAAAATTTGAGCTTAGTTCTAAAGGAAAAGCAGGATTTTGCCAAGTAAGCAAAGAGAGTTGACAGAAGAATTGCTTTGAGGCTTATTTTAAGTGGGAAATATTTAAAATACAGCAAATTATTGTCAAAACCTGAGTGATAGTATTACCATACAGTGGTTAAAAGTCATGATAAGTATTGTTCTAGAATTATACCTGTTACCATAAATAGCAATATTGGTGTTCCATTATTTTGATTTGTTTTCTTTCCTTTATTTTTTTAGTGTTCCTTTCAACAACAGGGAGAATATCTCTGATCCTACCTCACCGTTGAGAACCAAATTTGTGTACCATTTGTCTGATCTGTAAGAGATTTTCCTTCATAATTAATAACTTTTAATTTACCTTGTTAATGTTTCTGAAAATCTGAATTTTGAATACATTATTTCATGTGTTAATTATTAGATATTATAACTTCATAAAATTTTGTCACATATAAAAAGTACCTATAAATTTATTCTAAAAAAAATTATCTCCATTTATATAGGAATGTCCAGTGTAACCTAATAGTTCAAGAAGTGAATTTCAGCTTATTAACATGCAGATGTTTCTTTGGAAATGATAGAATCCAATATCAAACAGTTTTTAAAAAATATTCTTGTCACTCTTAATAATTCATCTAAATAAATATACAATTGGGAATAAGTTTAACATAGTAAAAATTGCTGTATGGTGTAGATATAATTAAATGTATTGTTTATTTTCAACTAATTTTTGTATATCAAGGTTGAAAAATCTCATACTATTCTGTATTGTAGAGCTGGTTAGGTCTGAAAAAAGTCATCCTTTATCAGAAGTCAGCTGCAACAACTAATTGATTTGAGATAAAACTGCATAGTCATACATATTTTGAGATAGGATTTAATGGGGACTTCTATTTGTTTTTCAGCTGTAAAAAATGTGATCCCACAGAAGTGGAGCTGGATAATCAGGTGGTTACTGCCTCTCAGAGCAATATCTGTGAAGAAGACAGTGCTACAGAGACCTGCTACACTTATGATAGAAACAAATGCTATACAGCTATGGTCCCACTTACATATGGTGGTAAGACCAAAATGGTACAAACAGCTTTGACTCCAGATTCCTGCTATCCTGACTAATTTAAGTCATTGTTGACTGCACAACTCTTCTTGAGAGGCTCTCCATTTTGATCCAGAAATTTAGTATATTTACTGGCAATAAATTTGAAATTAAGATTTTTTTTTGGTGATGTAAACCAATTTTCCCTCAAAATAACTGAAATAATAACATTGTTATTTTATTAGGTAATTACTTCTCAACTCTAAGTATTAAAATCAGTCAATTATCATAATTTTTCTGAAAGGATAAAAAAATAGATGAAGGGAGAAAATAAAACTCGAAGACTAAAAATAAAAATCAAGAGGCATAAATTAAATGCCTTTCATTGTTTTTGTTTTGCTTCGTTTTGTTTTTGCTTTGCCTTGGAGAGTCAGAGCTTTTGCACATCCTATTCTCTTTTTTAAAAGTTTCACTGTGTAGAGAAAATACATGTGTAAACAGAGGTCATTTATATTGCCTTTAGTAGAAAAATAATTGGAAAACCAATTATTTGGAACCAGTTATAAAATAATATAAATTGCTATTTCTAAGATTGCTAAAAGTGATATAATTAAATGCATCGTTGAAAAATTTATTTTGAAGGCTGGGGATGAGACTCAGTGGCAGACTGCTTGCCTGTCATGCATGAGGCCCTCAGTACCAACTCAGTCCCACCAAAAAAGAAAAGAAAAACGTGTTCTGATATGACACATAGACTTTGCAAGAGGTAAAACAATTTTTCTTTTGTTGATAAGAAAATTTTTTTGACAATCTGACTAGTGTAAGAAATTCCCATTAGAAATCATCTGTGTTGCAACTGAATTTAATGAAATATGTATTCCAAAATATGTATTCTCTAGTACAGTTTGAACAATTAAATAGATTCATAAGCATGTACCTGTGTGAAATAATTTATTTGGAAAACATTTAGGGGCTGGGATTGTGGCTCATCGGTAGAGTGCTTGCTTAGCACGGGTGGGACCCAGGTTCGATCCTCAACACCACATAAAAATAAAGGCATTGTGTTGTATCCATCTACACCTAAAAAATAAATATTAAAAAAATTTATTTGTGTTAACTTTCTTATATGTGAATTAAATACAATTTGATGAACAATTAGTGTATAAGTACAATGTAATGATGCATTAATCACTGAATTCATATTTGTACATATTTGAGGTGGCTTTGTGATTTTACACCTACAATTAATAAAAAGGCAAGGTCTTCATGGCACATAAAACTTTATGGCAAGAGCTAGGGCCAAATGTTATACCTATCTAAGGGTTCAGTGGAAAGTAAATGTTGAGTCTTTATTTAAAGTAGTGGATGGGTGATTAGTAAAAGTCAGTTTCTCTAAGAGGCAGTCTTCTGTTTCCTTTTTTTAGTTGTCCATGGGTCTTAATTTATTTATTTATATGTGGTGCTGAGAATTGAACCCAGTGCCTCCATGCTAGGCAAGCACTCTACCACTGAGCCACAACCCAAGCCCTATTTCCTTTTTAAAAATAATGATAGTTGTTTTGGTAACTTCTATTGTGATTATATTGATATTTAGCTTTTCTTTAGGGATAAGGATGGGACTATGGTTTGTCAGTAGGAATAATAGTTTTCATATACTAAAGATACATCCATTATTTATTGAACTTTGATCTAAAATGTGGTTGCAACTAAGTTTTTGGATTTCATTTAATTAGTAAACATTTTTTGACTATTAACCTATTGCACAAAAATGTTCTATGGTGATTAAGCTTAAGAGAGTCACCATTATTGCTCACTCCCTAGATTTCTGCTCAGTTCTTCTCTGTGAGAGCCACCCTATTTAAAAAATTAAAATTTTAATTAGGAAAAGCCTCTCGTTCTTTTATTTTGATTTATTATTCCCATATATTTATAACCTTCAAGCAGACTTATATAGTTTACCTATTTAGCATGTTTCTGGTCTGTTTCCCCCTATTAGAGTGTAATCTCCACAAGGGCAGGCAGTTTAATGTTGCCCATTTTTATGTTCCTAGCATCTAGAACTTTGTCTGGTACATAGGGGCTCTAAATATGTATTTGTTGAATGAATGAAGAACATGTGTTGAGACAGTATATGTACATAAAGAATTATAATTATTTGGCAGAAGGTGATAAAGTCAAAGAAATAGACTCCAAAATGTTATGAGAATTTATGGAATACTGCTTTTAAGAAGTTCTTCTACTCTCCCTTCATCTTTGCTGTAGTTTCTCTGTGTACACAATAGGAAATTATTTTGCTATTACATTGTCAATTCTTGTATAAATGATCCTATTCTAGCATTTTTACCTTATTAAATGCTAGATGGAAATGGATGGCAAATTTATAATCCTGCAAGTCTTCTTTCTTTCAGAAGTTCAGATAAATTAAAAAAAAATTTTTTTAGTTGTTGATAGACCTTTATTTTTTTATATGCAGTGCTGAGAATTAAACCCAGTGCTTCACACATGCCAGGAAAGTGCACTACCGCTGAGCCCCAGCCCCAGCCCCAGCCCCAGCCCCAGCCCCAGCCCCAGGAGTTCAGTTAAATTCTAAGATCACCCAGTTAATAACAATTTAGCATTAAGTATCAGTCTAAGTTCCTTATAAATATTTACTCATTCATTAAAAATCCAGAGTAGCTGATGCCTCCTAAATGAGGGTTAATGCTGCCTCCCCATTTTTCCTGACAGATATTTTCCTATAAGATCTCTTATACCTTTAAATTTATCTCACAATTGATATCTGCAGGGTTTGAATTAACATAATACCTAATTATGATCTATCTGATTTAATGATGATATTTAACATTGCATTCTTCACATGCCAAATAATTTATATATGTCATCTCATTTAATCCTTATAATAAGTTTTGGGATATTACTTTCATATTGTAAAGGAGAAAGCTAACTCAGTGGGTAAGTAGCAGTTTGACTTGTTCACTTGTCTAGTAAATGATAATGATAATTCTCAACCACTCTCCTATACTTTATTTATTTCTTTACTCACCTATATTTTAACAAACATCAGCTGAGGTTCTTAGTCATGTTTTCTGTAACATTTTCATGCAACTCATGTGGCATTTTGAGGTTAATGCACCCAATTCACTTACTTGTCCTTAAGTCTATCATCATTTGTGCACTTTTTGTGATTGATTGATTTTGCATTTACTGGGGATTGCACCCAGGGGCACTCTACCACTGAGATTCATTCTCAGCACCCCACCTTTCAAAAAAATTATTTAAAATTTTGAGACAGGGTCTTTCTGAGTTGCCAGGCTGGCCTCGAATTTGTGATGCTCCTGCCTCAGTCTCCTGAGTAGCTGGAATTACATGCATGCACCCCATGCCCAGCTTCTATATGCTCTTTTAAAATTTGAATTAAATGGATGATATTTTTAAAAGACAGGCAAAAGTAGGTACCTTTGGTAAGAAATGTGTTTTTTTTCCCATCTGCATAGGCTTTATAAGTAAGCCGTTTGTCCAATGAGCATTCTCAGCACCAGCCAGATTAAAAAAAATGAATTAGCAATTAGAGTAATGCTTCTTTGTGCCAAGCCGAACACCCAGTTTTCAGTTTAAGACTGTTATTTTTTTTTAAAAATTAGTTATCGATAGAACTTTATTTTATTTATTTATATGTAGTGCTGAGAATTGAATCCAGGGCCTCACAAGTGCTAGGCAAATGCTTTATCATTGATCCACAAATCCAGCCCTACTATTGTCATTTTTAATGGTGTTATGTGACTTGATATTAAAAATGAACCATAGTTTCAATTGTACAATCACAAATATACAGATGTATGCACCTCATAAGTAGACATGCACATACTTCTTGACCTGAGAACAGTGAGATAGAATAATTACTCTTTAATGGACCTTCCAGATCTTTGTTTTGGAGTAGCAGTGTATTATATAGTCTAGTGGGTAAATCCATGGCCTAAATTGGAATACAGACTAAATGACATTGGGCAAATTAATTCAATTGAAAGTTGTTTCCTCATTTAAACAATGGAAATAAAAATAATATCTTGCAGATTTTTACAAATACATATGTATGCATGTATTTTTGTATGTGTGTATGTTTGTATGTGACAGTACAGCTGTTAATAGCAGTCAATAATACTGTGTAAATTGCAGTTGTTACTATATTTCAGTTGTTTTTTGTCTCTGCCAAAGCAACAAACCAATGAAAAATGTAGATATGTGTTAGATCAGTGATCCTAAAGCTTTAAAGTGGCATGAGAATAACTTGGAGGACTCATTAAAGCAGATTACTGAATCCTACCCCCAGACATGGTGATTAAATTGTTCTGTGGTGCAGCTGGAGAAATTGCTTCTGCTGCAGTAGGGAGTTGCTTGGCTTTGGAATTATAATCTTCCACTTCCACCTAGTGGCTAATTTATGAAGTACAATGTATATGCATTTTTAACTAATGTTTACTGCCCTATGAAAAATTCACTATCTTCATTTTACAAATGATAAAACTGAAATGTGAAGAGAATTAACTTGCTTAAAGTTTTTCAAGTAGTATAGGGGGAACTGATGATTGGATTCAAGACTGTAAAAGTTAGTGCTCTCAATTATCCTTTCTGAACACATTTTTAGACAATTTCCCCTAGTAATTCTGAGGAAATAACCAGAATTACTGACAAAGAGGTAAAGAGATATTTATCATGACATTATTTATGACAGCAAAAGTTTATAAGTAGCTTTAATGTTATCATAAGGGAATGATAATATAGATATACTTGAGAATATTTTACAGATAATAAAAATGAAATTAAAAAATTTTTAATCTTATAGAAATTGCTTATACAATGCAAAGAGATAAATTAGGATATTACATAAAAGAATGACTTTAGGAGCAACACCTTACACATACATAAGAAATGACTTGAGGGAAATAGGCCAAATGTTATTTTGTTTCCCTTTACTTCTTAGTATTTTCTAGATGTTCTACAAACAGTGTATATTTTAAATTGTAAAAACGTTAGTGATTATTAATTTTAGTATTTCAATTATTAATTTTGGGGAAATTATAAAATTTTATTTATTTACCTATGTATTTAAAGAGAAGGTGAAGTTTACCTAACCTCTACTCTGTGCCCAGCACAGTGCCGGTAGCTATGAGTGATACATAAGAGAAATAAGAACTGACCTCACTTTTTAGAAATTATCCTACTACTTCTATAGGCAAAATTAACAGGAATAAATGAGCACATGATATAGGACAAATGTAATTAAATATAAAAATGATGTACTGTGAACTTTCAGGGAAACCTAGGATATTAGGGTTGGGATAATCTTGGAAAATATTTTAACTGAATAGGATTTTCACAGATGAGAGTAGAAAATTCTAGAACTATATGAGCTAGGCAAAGAGCCAGGAGGAAGTATAACATAGATGTAGGAATATAGAGAGGGTCACCCTGTTCTTTCTTTTTGTTATCTATTAGATTTCTCACTTTATGCTTCATTTATACACTTCCTCTCAAATTGATGCTATTTAGTTTTTTTTAGTGATCAAGACCTTTCTGTCTCTTCCCTGGTAAATGGGCAGTTATTACGTACTTAAGGGAAACCGCCTAGCACTTTGCGATGCCAAGTTTTATCTACTAACAGGTTAAGCCATCATCACCAGGGAGCATGTTAATACTACAGAACAGTGGACCCTGTTCCAGATTTCCTGAATTAAAATCTGCATTTTACCAAGATTCATGTGTACATTAAAACATGAGAAATGCTGGTATGGAAAGCATCACTGTCAGAAAACAGCCTAAATCCTAGTTAAAGGAGGCAATTGCCACTTTGTTTTAATAACTAAGGTACTGACAAGGTCCTCTACCAACAAAAATATCTGCAGTTATCCTTCACTAAATACATTATGATTAGACACACTCTTTAAGGGAATAGTGGATGATATGGGAATACTACATACTAGTCAACACTTGAGAAAAATCTTTTTACCAGATTTAGCTACAGCAAATACATGTGTCATACAGTGCAGAAAGAAAGGAGATATGGTTATTTGGATAAGTTCGGAGGTAATTAATATATAGGCTCTGATGAAATGCAGAAATGGGAGGGTTCTAGTTGCTCAGGCAGATGAAAGGGGACACTTTAAGAGCAGGGAACTTTGGATGGGGAGGTGACCAGTCACCTTGATCTATTTACAGTTTTTGTCTGTATCAAATTATAGTTTGGCTTCCTCCTTGCTTCTTCATTTGAAGAGTTCCCTGCTGCTAGAATTGGAATTTTCATTGTTACCTGATGAATTGTTTCTAAATTGCATTAACTATAAATTCAAAGGGAAAAAAAGGTACAGTGACTGGTATTGGAATGGAGTGATTTGAAGAGGC